GGAGTATCACTGAGCGGGGGGACATCCCCAAATACCCTATTTCTGCACCTCCTTTTCAGGATGAAAATTGTAGGAAGGGAAGGACACACCAGGTTGGCGTGCAAGGCAGGGAATTTGGGAACAAAACCTCCAAGAAGGAGGTTTAGTATATTTGCATCCCCTCTACCTACGCATGCAAAGCTCTGCGGGCCTCGAGGAGCGAAAATTTCAGCCCAGAGCCCTGTGCTGATGAGAAACAAGGTCTCTGTGTGTTTCAGGACAACACTATCAAGGTTTTTTTAATTGCATTTCCATTAAAATTGCATTTTTCCCCTGCACACATCCCACATCCCCTGGCAGCAACAGGCTGCTGACCTTCAGGCACAAAAACTTGCTCATGTCGCTGTGCTGCTGCTTTTTTCATCCAAGTTGGGGTTTTATTTGCTGGTTGGTGCTTCATTGGTAATTTTTTTTTTTTTTCAAAGCATCCTTAATTTTACATCTGTCGGCAGCAAGATGGTTTGCCCATTCAAAATACCCGGCTGCGTTTGGGATAACCAGTTTGGGGGAGCCCCTCTCTGCCTGCCGAGCCAAAGGTTCTTCATCAGAGGAGCATGGAAGCAGCAGGATTGGGTCCAATTTCTTTGGGGAAACACCACCTAAACCCTCCTCTTTTTCCAAGGATTTCCCCACTTTTCCCCCCAAACTGATGGAACTAAACACAGAAAAAAAAAAATTAGGATGTCTCTTAAAAAAAAATCACTTTTTTTGTTACAGGGACAAAGACTCGCACGCGAGTGCGTGCAAGGAGGAGAAAAATAATTAATCCTGGCTTAATAAAGTCTTAGATTCAGGGCTACTGTCCACTGCCGTAAGTTTTGCTGCTTTACAAAAATTCCCAAACATTTCTAATGTGTTATATACTACACCATGGCTATTCTATGCAATATATACATTTATATTTGGTAATAAAGTGCAGTTTTCAGTGAAAGAAATGAGTTATTAATAAGGGTGATAGAGTGCCCATAACAGCGAATTTTAGAATAGAAAATACTCTATTTTAGAATAGACTAGAATAGATTGTATTATTATTATTGTTCCTTTATTTATAATTTAAAATATACTCTCTGGGGACTTGGGTGGGGGGATAAAAAACAGCTGTGTGTTTTAGCTCAGTCATGTGTCCCCTAATTCTGTGGGTTTCATCCCAAATCCCAGACTGACGGGTGACAATTAAATTAGGCAGGAGAGCAGAAGGCGGCTGGAAACCCCGCAGGGGTGGAGAACAAAGCCCTGGGCCAACCTTCCCCGCCGGCGGAACCAAGGTGAGAAATGCAACCGCTTGCAAATTTGGGGATGTAGGGTCCCGGGCAAATCCAGACAGGTCCCCATCCCTCCATCCTCCAGCCCCATCCCTCCCTGGGCAGGGACAGCAGGGATGCTGGGCTCCAGGGATTGCTTGTAGGGCAAGAGGATTGTCACAAATGCCAATGAGTCACTGGAAATGTTGGCCCCGGGGATGCTACAGGGCAAATCTCTTAGCATCCCTATGGGAAAGCTTCAGATCTGGTTCACAATCTCTTCCCCCCACCAAGCAGTAGAGAAGAGATTTTCCAACCCAATGTCTGCTCCAGGCTTTGATCTTCCCAGATGCTGTTGCTGTGCCTGGTTGGGAAACCCTGACTTCAACTTAAGTCAAAAAAAAAAAAAAAAAAAAAAAACCCACCAGAAATGCCCGCAGCCCCTCGCCCCCATTTATTCCCAACCACATCAACCACCTCCGTGCCACAGCAAAAGAAAAAAAAAAAGAACACTGCCTTTTCTTTTTATTGTCTTTTTTTTTCTTTTTTATTTTTTTTTTTCAAAAAGTAAAATCGAAAGGTGTGGGGATGGCAAACTGGGATCTATCGCTCCATCCCCAGCCTGGAAATAGCCAGGAGGCAGGGGGCTGGATGGGGTGGGGGTCCCATCCCACCCTCCATCCCCGCTCCCCTCTACCTGGTGAAGGGGGACAGGGCAAACTGCCCACCCCTGCTAATTTTGGGAGAGATTTCCAGAGGTTTTTTTGGGAGTGGCAGGGAAGTCTCCTGGAAGGAGACTTTGCAGCGGATCCTTTTCATGGCTCATTAAGTCGGGAATTCGCTGTAACCCCAGCCCAGGCGATGCCTGGAGCAAGTTCACAGCCTCGACCATGGCAGGGGCTGATCCTGCCCTTCAGGGGAATGGAATCATTCGCCAAACTCGCCCTTGAAAAGCCCAAATTTGGCGTTTGAAACTCACACCAGGGAAAGTTTTTCCAATAGGCCCCCGTGTGTGATTTATGCACCCATCCTTCCCAGCACTGTATACCACAGAGGCATGTTTTAACCCAGGCCAAAATTCCCCTTATCAAGGAAAACCAAAAATATCTTTATGTCTTTTCAGATCATTTTCTTTCAATACATTTTCGCTAAATTTCTTTCCTTGGTGCTTTGCTTTAAAAAAATGCCGTGCCCGATGGCGTAGCCTGCATATCCAGCTACACCTGCATAGCCTTGCTCTTCATTATTAAAAACCAATAATAATTAACATTCTTATGATCCCAGGGCTGCTCTGCAATTAGCCCTATCCCAGGGTTCTCCGGGATGCAAAATCCCTGGAGGGAAATGAGAGCGCTGCAAAAATAATTTGATTTAAGGCAGCCTCGCACAAAGGATTGCGATTCCTCATTGTGCAAAGAATAAAAATATCTTTAGTCCGAAGGAAAGGCAAAGGAAGAAGTTTAGGCTCCACGCTGCCAGGGGCTGCTGAGCCAGGCTTAGATGTGTTATTAAAGTGGGTCTGGGATGGGTGCAATCTACGGTGGTGTTTTCCTCCCACTACATCATAAAATCCTAGAATCAAAATCTTTCAAATTTTTCAGCCCGTCAGGGCTTTTCACCCTTGCTCATAAAAAAAAGAAAAAACAAAACCAACAAAAAAAACCCGAAACCAAACACCTTCTCCCTGCTTAGAAACCCCCTCGATACCCGCAGCCTGTGCAGAGCATCGCCCCAGCTGGGAGCAGCCCGGCAGCGGCCGCGTCCCGACACGGGGAGAAGAGGGAAAGGGGCAGGTCTGGACCTTAAACTACTTCCCAGCTTCCAAAAAATCCCTGCAGCATTTTTAATCCTCAATTTAAAACTCTCCAGCTTTCAGGCCGGTTTTGTTTGAGCCGATGTTATTTTTTTTTTTACCATAAACCGAGCATTTTTTCATTTAAACCAAGTGCCATTTCCACATACAGGGCGGAGGCATAATTAAACCCACGCTAATAAATCCCCCGGTTTTGGCAACACCATGAATCCAGCACCCAAACCAGGACCTGGCGATGGAAAAGGCTCCCGGATCCTTCCTCCTTCGTTAGCAACGGCTAACGTTTTCTGGACTGGCTCAACGCATCCCATCTTCGCAGTGCTATTTAAGAGCTCAGATTAAAAAAAACCAAACCACTTTTTTTGCCACCAAAAGGCAGGCTGCGAGACCCGCAATGCAAACCACCGCTTAACGCAGGGCTTGAGACCCCCAAATCACTGCGCTCCATCCCTGGCACCTTAAAAGCTGCCGGCTATTTCTGCAACTTCAATTTTTTAATTTGCATTATTTTGGTTTTAGGTTATTTTTACTACTAAGAGCCCTTTTGCTAAAAGCTGATTTTTTTTTTTTCTCCCCCTAAGGAAGAGCTGGCACAGGAGTTGAATATGAGTGTTCTTATGTCCTTGCTGATAATATTCAATTATTATTTGATTTTTCGATTCATCCTGCTTTTTTCCTATATTTTCTACTTTCTCAGGGCTTCCCAAAAACATTGCCTGGTTGGCTAAAATTTTATCCTTAAATATAATCTGTTCCCCGTTTTCAGCAATTTCATCATGCCCAAAGCAAAGCGAAAGGCATTGGCAAGGCCAAGCCTTCACCGACACCCAACTTTCCTTTCTTTGACGGCTTAAAATAATGCTAAAGAGAAAGGAAATCTTGCTAGACACGGCGGAAAAATTACCCTGAAAAATTCAAGTTAAAGAATGCGATCTTAAAACCTTTCTGCAGACAAATTTGAATCATTTTCTTTGTTAACCCCGACCCCGAAGCCGATAGGAATACCTTCGTGGAGAGAAAGTGGGGAGGAAAAAAGAGTTTATGAAACCACGATGCAGAGATATGCCCCACATTTCTATCCGCCTTTCTCCCTCTTCCACTGTATAAAATAAAATAAAATAAAATAAAATAATAAAAAAATTAAGCCATTTGGGCTGATTTCTGGTCATAGGACTCAGGGGTGCTTAATAAAATGAAAGGCTCCGAGACTGAGATCAGCACAAGAAATCAGGGCTGAGATTTTTTAGGGGGCAAGGAGACACTGAAATTCAGGGCTGGGTCATTCCGACATGCCTGTGAGTCCCCCAAAAGTGTGATAATAAATGTGGATTAATTTATTTTTCTCCTTCTCTAGCATCTCTCCCTTATTGGCACCAAATTTCCTTTTGCTTTCCCTTTTTCTAGCCTAACCATTCCAAAAGTTACAAAAAAAAGAGACATAACATAAAACAGCCCAAAGGGAAGATCTGGGATTCACGGGCCAAACGTCGATTTTCCCTGTTTTCCATGTAATTTCCCCCATTTTCCACCTACAACAAGCCGAGGAAGGGGCTGCCTGCACACCCACGGAGCATCGCGATGGTCCCATCTCAGCCCCCAAATCCCCTCGGAGCTATTTGTGGAGCCAGCAGGATCTCAGCACATCATTTCTTGCCTCTTCAGGCCTATCTTAAACTATAGTTATGTTTTGGAAACTCTTTTCCTTGAGGATATTTTGAAACAGCGATTTTCCAGAGAGGTCACCCACAGCACCGCGGGGACCCCCGTATTTTGCCGACGGCAACATCCCAAATACGCCGAATTTCTCCCTCCTCCCCTTCGCGCCTCCTCGCCCTATCCATAAAGGATGCACCAAATATTGGGGTGAAACCCTCCCTTTCCCCATCCCAACCCGTGGATGCTCTCACCGATGTTGGCGTGGCGGGTGGCGGCGGGCGTCCCTCGGCTCTGCAGGTTGTGCAGCATGGGGCTGTCGAAGGGCGATGAAGTCCAAGTGGTGGCCATTTCGGGACTCATATAAGCCGGGTAA